GTGTGTGTGTGTGTGTGTGTGGAGATGTACTTACATATAGACAGATAGGTGGATAGATACATAGATAGATAGATAGATAGATAGACAGATAGATAGATACTTCGGTAGATAATGATAGATAGATGGATAGCTAGACAGACAATCATAGGTAGTAGTGATACATAGATAGGTAGATTCATAGATGATGGATAGATAGGTTCATAGGTAAACAGATAGATATATTGTTGGGATTTTATGCTTCGTAAGTATTGGTATCAGTATCCGTGTTAGTATGAGCACTCTTATTTATTAGCAGTGTAGTTTTCGTGCTGTTAGTTTTTTCTTACGTTTGATGATTTCTGTTATGATTATGATTATCAGTATTGGTGATTATATTTAGTACTGTTAAATTGTCAGTACTCTTAGCAGTAGCATTATCATGATGGCTCCTTTCCTGTCTTTACGCATAATACGAATGTTAACCTTTTTGTTACTAGGCGGTATCATATGCAACATAGCAAGTCGCGACGATGATGAGGAAGACAATGATGCTGATGACTGTGGCCACGGACCACGATGATGAGCCGTCCTGGTGGATAATGACCATGATGACACTACGACTGACGACGGCAGCCATCCCTATGATGCTATGCCCAATGCGAAGACAACCCACTTGGAGCCCAAGAGCACAGCACAGGTGTTGGGCAAGCAGTTGGCCTGAGTCCCATGCCGCGCTCCTAGACCGAGCGAGCGCTCTTCCTTGCTCTCAGGGGATTCAGAGCTCAGGGTTTCGACGAGTTTTGGGATTTGGGTGCTGTGTTTTCTCGGGCTGCATACTTTAACCTCTGCTGAAGGCTCGCAGGAATTCATCAAGATCACAGCATCTTCTCACCGAAGCCCAGGCTCTTCACAGAGTCTCAGCTCCGACCGATGACATGACAGATGGCAAGCGAAGAGATGTCAAGTCAGGACTAAATTGCGTCGTGACGATGCGCATGCGACTAGCGCTGTTCTCGAACTAAGACATCTATCATGCGACATAGCTTGAAGTAACTGAGATGCTACAGCTTCGCAAACTAAGAAGTCGCAGATGTGGCGTGTATGTGAGTGTTTTCCGGGTTCTTGCGGTGAGCTCAACGAAGTAAAGAATGATGGTTGTGCTGTTTGAGACTTTCGATTTCAACCGACCGCGATCATGCTGATGACCCAACTTCCAGGAAGACGCGCCGAGCAAGTCACACATAGATTCTGCTCGGGCTTGCATGAAAGGGGTCTGGGGCGTTCAGGATTTCGGAGTGTGCACTTGATTGGCTTCGGAATGCATGTCCTGCGAGGAATTCTGGTCGAGAATCGGCATGAAATAGCTGAAGGGAACTTCTTCAAGCCTGGATCAAAACGGGCCAGGGTCACAGTGACAAGTCTGGAGCTGCAGGAGCTACTGCAGGAGCTACTTAGGCCTATGAAACCCCAATTGGTCCTCTCAAACTCGTAGCAGGAAGCGGCGTCCGAACCAGATCGCCTTGTCAGGCCAATTCACTGGCGGTCCCCGCATATCTCTGGTCTATGGTGAGAACCTGTTCAAAGGAATCGGAGCGGGTCGTCTTCAGAGGCCTGAGAACAAGGTCAAGCCTCAAGCTACCCCCGTCCCAGGCTGCTGTTCAGTGATCAGGGGAAACCCTAAACCGTAAAGAACTAAGGTCCCGCAGCCCGAGGCAGCGAAGTGGAGGATCCCTCACAAAGTAGTGAGCGGCCGTCTGGCTGGTGGATTAGGTTAAGTACTTCTGCTGAGGAAGCTTTGGGAGGGCAGGGCAGTTTCAGGAACTAGGACTTGTGTTTTCTTGCTGGGATCCTGGAGTGTGTGGCTGTTTGTGTTCGCGGCATGTTGATTCTGGAACGAAGCTGGCCTTACAGGAGGCGAGTGCTTCAGATGCTGATGCCGGTCCCCAGTCACAGCCATACCGAGCGGCGAAGCTCTCCAGAAGCAGGCAAGGAGCCCAAAAGCTAGAATACTAGTTGCAGGATGGTCAAAACAAGCCTCAGCTTATGACCCCCGTTGTACGGCTCAGAGTCTTGGACCTGCATCACTTCCTGAGAAATATGTGGGATCATGTGACTCGTGCCTTCCTGCTGGTTACGCTTATGTAGACCTTCGTACTTGAGCACCATCCCGGCAGTATAGGCTGATGACCTTGCCGTTCTCGCATGGGTTCAGATGCACATGTGTGCTCGTAGTATCGGAAGCTCATCTTTTTCGTGCAGTCTTACTCCACAGAAGGTGTAAGTGAGCACTTTGCTGTAGTATGGCGCACTAAGTCTCATTTCGCATCTTGGTATGCGGTGCGATGAGGGCCGGTTAGGCAGTCTGTCTTTTACGGCAAAGCCGTATTGCTCAGGCAGGTTGTGTGCTCGAGCCGTGCAGGCATATATGGTGTTTGTTTGACAACAATCGCCATGCTAGAAGTGATTCTGGGCGCATCAAGCTACTCAGCTACTCGCACCACCTAGTACCGGCACTTAAATGGACGGGGCCGTCATGGACCTGCAGACAACCGCCATTGTTTGCAGAAGATCGCTCGAATGCAAAAAGTGACTAGGTGCATTGATGTCGAGACAGGTGGGCCCTAACCTCGATTCAGATTTGCGCCTGGTAGTTGCTTGCAAAATACTAACATGCATTTTCTCAGTACTTATTGGCCACCTGAGTGCTGGAGAGTTGAACCCCGCATGCTGTGCAAGCCTGCGGCTCCAGGCTCGACCAGAGTCCTGTCTGTCGGAGAAGCATTCACCTACGAGCATACCGAGTGCACAGCAAGGCCACGAAGCCGCTAAGTTAGCCACGAGGCTAGATTGGTTTTGACGTTCGGAGTGCTTTCGCACTCCAGCGGGAGTCCAGCGCCATGAGCCTTGCCATGGCGACGCCGGGGCCCGGCGACTTAGCTGGGCTCAAACCGGGCTGCCCAGAGGTGAGCTCCGCAGACATGGAGCAGATCTGCGGGCTCTTGGAGGCATCGCTGGTGCCGAATGGTGAGCTCCAAAAAAAAGTCTTGAGCTCGATGCAGCAGCTGGGAAAGCGGCCAGACTTCCTGGTGGCTTTGTCGAGGATTTTCGTCGAGCTCGAAGCGAAGTCCATCCACATCCGGCAGAGCGCCGGCGTCCATTTAAAGAATTTTTTGAAGCAGAGCAGCGAAGTTTGCCTTGTTGATGAAGCAACAGAGGCATTCTTATGCATGCAGGTCATGAAGGCTCTGAGCCATCCGGCCAAAATCCTACGTCACACCGCAGGAAGCGTGCTGGCTTCCTTGCTCAGGCGACGATTGGACCTGGGAGTCATCGATAAGCTCTGGCAGCAGCTGTACGTCGACAATGCAGATGTGGTGGAGGGTAGCATGTGGGCCTTGACCCTCACATCCGAAGATTTGCTGGGGCAGGGCGTGGATGAAGCTTTCGTGAAGATCGCTTGTGCCAAGATCTTGCCGCGCACCATAGAGCTCACAGACCAGAGACTCCCTTCTTGGCTGCGGAAGCAATCCTCTGACTTGCTGATGCAGTACCTCGTCCAGGGCGCCTTCGACCCGGAGAAGTGGCCTGCCGGAGCCGGAATGCAAGGGAGCTT